ATTAATTAATTAATTAATTAATTAATTTATTTATTTATTTATTTATTTATTTTTACCATTAAGGGCTTAGACACAGACTGCTAACATACGCTAACCACGCTAACAGTATTGGCTCCATTATCAATACTTTCAATTAAAAACGACTTTTCAAAACTGAATATCAAATATTAGGATCTGATTGTAACTTTAAAAGTACCCTGATTTAAAATGAATGTTTAAAATGTAATTTTCAGTGCAGGTTTTACTCTAACTCACCACTCTCAGAGTCCGACTTGCTTCCATCTAAAGACAAAGCAACAGGTCAACCGGGGACAGAACATGAAATCAGTTAAAAGATGTTTGCAGGTGAATCATTGTTTCTTTGATTCTTAAATGACGACTGGAGAACAGAATCTTTTCTTAATCGCCTTGACGTTTTCTCAGAAGAGCTACGTTTACATGATCTTTATGTGAACCAGGCAGCAGCGGTGTAATCATAAAGAGACTCAAACTGATATTTGATCATGAGGAATGAGTCTGAGGAAGTAACAGATGAAAACACGGAGGAAGTTTTTGTGAGAAATGTCTGAATCTGAATCTGAATTCCTCCTTCCTGCTACGACTCAGTTTTTAAAGCATGAGGCTCAGATTATTTTACTCCTCAGGATTTTTTCACTCAGTTTTGTCTGTCGTAGGAGATTGTTCTCCAATTCATGTCTTYATCATAAAAAGATAATTAGTTAAATAAACTAATCTGACCTTCATGGCTCTCCTTTTCGTCGCTCTTGTCTTCAGAAGTGTCCGAAAAAACAAAAACAAAAACAAAAAAAACAAAATATCAGACAAGTGAGGACTTCAACTTCTAAATAAATTGTATTTTTTTACAGGTTTTATAATTTTTTAAAACGTGTCAGATGTTAACTCACCCTCAGATTTGTCCTGACTGTTGCTGTCTGGAAGGCATTAACAAAAACATGCTAATTTCAATTTAATGCAATCATCTGAATATTCTAGTGCCTCTGTTTGCCCCACATAATGATACTGCCACCACCATGTTTATTATTATAGATACGAAATATATATTTCTCAACAAAAGATTTAGCTCATGTGGTCTAAAAACACAACACAGCATCTGGATAGTCTCAAAATGAGCAGAAATTAATTTTAAAGTATTTTTTCTGCCCATCTCTATGCAGAAACTCTTCTTTTCGGTTCAGGTTCACCTGAGTCTCAATAATTGTGAGAATGAACAACATTCTTAATTTAAAATGAAACCAAACTATAATATTTATTCATTTGCTTTAATAAAATAACTTATTCAGCATCAAACTTTGACTCACCTTCCTCCGTCTCCTCAGACTCTGAATCAGCTAAAAGACAAATAATTTCAGGTAAACACTGATTCATTTTGTGTTTATTGTTGGTTAATTAGAATTTTTAGCTCTAATCTGCATCAGAACATGAAACATGAAAAAAAAAACACAGTTTTTGTCTCACATTCAGAGTGGTCTGAGTYGGAAGTGTCTGAAGAATCTTCGTCACTTTCTGAATAGTTTAACAGACAAAACATATTGAATTAAATTCTACAATAATAAGTTGAACTGATTTTAATTTTATGTTTGATAATAAGAATAATTTATCAGCTGAAATAAAAACATTTAACCTTAAACTTCAACTGACCTGATGATGATGAATCAGTGCCGTTTGTCTTTTCAGGGGCTGAAACAGACAAACAGGTGAGGAGGACGCAGGTAAACACAACCAGGTAACACGAACATGTAAACACAAACAGGTAAACATAAACAAGTAAACACAAACAGGTAAACACAAACAGGTAACACAAACAAGTAAACACAAACAGGTAAACACAAACAGGTAACACAAACAAGTAAACACAAACAGGTAAACACAACCAGGTAACACAAACAAGTAAACACAAACAGGTAAACACAACCAGGTAACACAAACAAGTAAACACAAACAGGTAAACACAACCAGGTAACACAAACAAGTAAACACAAACAGGTAAACACAACCAGGTAACACAAACAAGTAAACACAAACAGGTAAACACAACCAGGTAACACAAACAAGTAAACACAAACAGGTAAACACAACCAGGTAACACAAACAAGTAAACACAAACAGGTAAACACAACCAGGTAACACAAACAAGTAAACACAAACAGGTAAACACAACCAGGTAAC